TTCTGTTGTATATAGGGTCACCAACTCTATGGCACATAACAACAACAATATTATTTGCCTTATCTTTATTTTGTGTAGATGTAGGTAGAAAGGGAAACAACAGGATTTTTTTCCAATGCATTTTGTCAGATTTAAGTCGTAATTATTTAAAAACTTGAAGCTAAAAATGAAGAACTCTATTTCTCTCAGTACCAAGTTGTGTACTCTACGGGATCTCCAGAGAAAAGTTTACTTTTTTTCTTTGTTTTCTCTTAGATAAGGGGTACTGGTGTGATGCTGGATGATAAACACTGAACTGCTAACCTCAAGGTTGGTGGTTCAAACCTACCAGCTGCTCCTTGGAAACCATACACAGGGTTGCTGTGAGTTGTACCTGACTCAATTGCACATAACAACAACAACAAAAGACCTGTAGACATACGGAGTTTGAACTGCCAACCTTGTGGTTATCAGCCCAATGCCTAACACACAGCACCACCAGGGCTCCTTATAGACATATTTACAGCCTTGGAAGCTGTGAAGGGGCGAATCTCCTCTGTGCTGTAGAGTCTCTGTGAGTCAGAATCAACTCCACAGCAGTGGGGTAGACATAGTTGAGGTTCTTCTTTCCCTCCTGTGCTGGTTCTCCTGGTTATCTCTAATTACACGTGGAAAGAAAATCTCTCTTGAAAATTATGATTGATTTACCATTTTCTCTAACAATTTGCTGTTTGCTTAACAAAATTCTCATGCGGTTGTGAAATTAATAATTCTCAGGCTTTTAAAATTTTGTTTCTATTCTATTATGGAAGTGATACACCTTCTTTTAGAAGTAGACTTTGATGGAGGAACAGCAAGAACCATCTGAAGTTTCTTGTTTATTTTCAATCTTTTTAGAGCTGAAAAATTTTTTAGTGATTTTCATTTTAAAGAAAGAAATATAAGGCATTGAATAATTTTTAATTTGGGGAGCATGTTATTTTTCTGTAAAGTCCTTTAGAGTTGTTACTCAGTATCTACTACTGAAGATTCACTAAAATTATAAATAACAGCAACAACAAAACACTGTTTAAGTCCCTGATTCTTAAAAAAATTAAAAACTACTATTTTATAGATCTTCCCATTTACATTTTAGTTTCACTAATCAGATTTAATTTGTCATATATCCATTCTATTCCAGTATCTTTTTGTAGAAAATATGAAACATACATAAAAATAAACAGAAAAATAAATTTTTAATGAAACCACCACCGAACCATAGTAATTGGGTCAATCATGTTTCTTCTATACACCTTTCTCCTCCAACTCCTACTTCTCCACTTCCATATTATTTTAAAGCACATTTCAATGAACATGAAAAGAAAACCCACAAACAAAATTAATAGCATGGAAAATTATGTGGAACAAAGAATCTAGCAGCATCACAAAAAAGCACACAGAAAAATGACAACAATCAATTCATACCTTTTGATAATCATACTGAATGCAAATGGATAATGTACCAATCAAGAGACATAAAGAGGAGAATAGATAAGAAAATAGGAACTTTCAATATGTTGTGTAGAAGAGACATATAAAAAAGATAGAGGCAGAATCAACAGAAGAATGGTTAAACTTTGATGCATACACACAATGTAATACTACAAAACATTGAAGATTAATGATGAATCTGCAATATCTCACAACATGGTTGAACTTAGAGGATATTATGCTGAGTGAAATAAGTCAATCACAAAAGGACAAGCATTGTATGAGACCAAAGTCCTGGTGTGGCGCTTTAGGATTAGCACTGGACTTCAAAGCACAGGTTGGCAGTTCAGACTCACCAGTTGCTCCTTAGAAACTCTGTACAGGGTCGCTATGAGTCAGAACTGAATCTACAGCACCTCACAATGAGAATCAACAGTGTTGTAAAATGTTGAGAGACAAAGTTTTCTTGATGGAAGAAGCAATTTATGATGGTTGCAGGAAGTAGGGCAGAGGGATTAGGGGTCGTTCATGGGCTGGAGGGTGAACATATGTTGGCATGGGTGACAGGGTAGGCAGTGTGCAACAAGGGGGAGGTTGGTAGGGAAGGGTGGACATGGCGGGAGACACTGGGAGGAATGCAATGAAGTGAATAGAGGTAGATGCTATTGGCTGTTGGTACATGGAGAGGATTGAGACCGTGTGGTAAAGCAAAGTATGATTTATTGGATGTGGAACAGATTCTCTACTCTTTTTAGACCTTCAGTCAATTCTCAATGAAAAGTTTAAAAATAAAATAACATTTCAACTTGATACACCTTTCTAATGTGGTAGCACTGTCAATTTAGTGCTAATACTGAACTGGATTTATTCTTAAAGCAGAATAAAAACTCACTTTATCTTAAGTAACAGGTATATTTGGAAGGTCTTCTCACTCAAAAATGTAGCACTCTCCCCTGACTCATAGCAACCTCATTTGTGCCACATAGAACTGCTCTGTTTTTTAAGACTTTTACCTTTTGGAAGCCAATCACTAGGCCTGTCTTCTAAGGCAACTCTGAGGTGATTTTGAACCACCAACATTTTGGGTATCATGACACCCAGGGGCTCCTCTCTTTTAATATCCACTACCATCAAGTCAATTCCAATTCATAGGGTTTCCTTGGCCATACATGTTTATGGAATGCCACATCTTTTTCATGAGTAGTGGCTGGTAGGTTCAAACTGCTGACCTTCCAGTTAGCAGTCAAGCAAACCACTGCACCAGTAGGGCTTCCTCTGTTTTCATGTTGTTGTTGTTGAGTGCCGTTGAGTCGGTTCTGACCCATAGCGACCCTGTATAGGGTTTCCAAGGAGCAACTGGTGAGCTTGAACTGCCGATCTTGTGGTTCAAACCGACTTTGCCTTCCAGTGCATTAGCTCACAGCACCACACCAGGACTCCTCTCTTTTCATAGCAATGTTTAATTCAAAGGTACTCCATTTATTCAGCACATTTGTTGAGTTATCTACTTTATGTCAGAAATACAGAGATGAATAAGAACATGACTTTGTTCTCAAGATGCTCATATTTTAAGTCTGTAAAAATAAACATACAATACCAGATGTAAAATTAAAAGTGTCATTAAAATGCTTTAAAAAGTGCAATGGAAGTTCATCTGCATAAGAAACCTGAAAACAATTTTTATTTTCTCATTAATTCATCTAACCCTAGGTACTAGAAATAGACAAAACCAGGTCTGCAAAAATAGATGAGGTTCCACCCTAGGACCATCAAGAGGGTAGAGACAGTGGCAGAGGCAATGGTATAGAGAGATAGAGCAGTTGAGGACTCTAGGCCTATGAACTGAGAAAGGCTGTGTGCCTACAGGCAGGAGGCTGGCTTGCAAAATAAAATGTGACCTTTGGACAGTTAATTGAATATGTATATATATGTGTGTGTGTGTGTGTACATAAAATATTTTTGCTGTGTTCATTAGTGAAAAATAAGATATAAAAAGGAAAGCAGGATAACTATTTTTATATGGAGGGGATTGTTGTAATCAATCAGATGAAGCAAAGCGTATGACTGGTTGACAGTTAGGCTGATGATCTTGTCTGTTTACCTTCACTCAGTTTACAATAAAAAGTTGACTTTTAAAAAAGGAATTGAATCAAAATCCATGTATACTCCCCCAAGGAAATGCAAGCTCAGAAATGAAAATTTGGGGTGAATAAATACATTTTAAATATGAAAGTCACTTAATTTTATTTA